CCACGGCTTACGCCTGTAGACCCAACTGTGCGGGAGGCTCCAGAAGCTCAAGATCAGCTTGGACAACATGGCCAGACCCCCTCTCAAAAAAAAAAAAAAAAAAAAGAAAAAGAAAAAAGGAGCACCTATGCCCCTCCCGGCAACACAGGTTGGATTTAGCTGCTCCTTTCTGCTGAGTGGAAGGAGCCTGGATGTGGCACTGTGGGCCTCGGACTTGGAGATCTGGTTCTGTGGGGCACTCGGTGTCCTGTGTGCTGCCTCTCTTGGGTCACACACACTGGAGAAGGCGGACGCCACACTGACGACACTCAGGCTGTGCAGAGGGCCCCACGTGGTGCAGAGCTGAGGCCTCTAGCACCCCACCATGGGGCCGTCCTGATGTGGGTCCCCCCTGCCTCCGTGAAGCCTTTGGCTAATGCAGCCACAGCCAGAGACCCTGAGGGAGAAGCACCCAGCGAAGCCATCCCCAAACCCCGGCCACGGCAGCTGGGTCCCAAATGTGTGTTGCTTGTGAGCCACCAAGTGTTGGGTAGTTTGTGGTGCAGCAGGGCTGGAGGATCTGCCCTCAGGAAACCCTCCAAGCTGGGATCGGGCAGCACCATTTGCAGCACTCAGCCCTGGACAGACAATCTCTGGAGAAGTTTCCAGAACCACTTTCTAGTCAGTTCCAGAGATTTCTGGACAGAGGTGCAGGAAGGTGGGGGGGGGTTGGAATCCTGCCTGTCATTGCTGTGCTCACCTGGTTTGAAGTGGCCGGTGGCTAAGAAGTGGGTGGAGGTGGCCACAGAGCCCCCTCGACTGCTGGGTCTGGGTAAGACGCACTTTTGCCTCCACGCTTACCCCGTGTCCTGCATTATTGTCTTGGAAACCACATGGGTGCTTGATGACACGCATTCAAACCACAGTTTAGTTCTGAAAACCTCTTGTACGCCACAGCAGCGTTAGTGCTAGTCTCTAACACCTTCACCAGGAAGGTCAGCACCACCGTCATGAACATGCGGCCTCTGGAAACTGCAGAGTACAGAATCAAGGACCATGGATTTTACCTTCAAGTTATCACTAGGTCTCAGCCATTTTCCACATAAAAATCTTCCGTTTCACTTAAAGCCTCGATAGTTTGTTATTAAAATGTGCCTTCCTCTCCCCTCTTGCCATGCCTGTGAAGCTTTTCCTCATGCACCGCCGTGCGTGGACGCAGCCGCTTGGGTTTCTTGACAGGAGGGTGAGACTGTCAGGGTGGGCTACGTCATGCTCAGGTACAAGCAATTCCTAGGTTCACCTGGTGCTAATGCAAGGTCTGCTGGGAGTCTGGATGGCTCTCCAGGACAGGGTCCGCCACGGTCACTCGGCAGGTCAGGCCACATGGCTCTTGTGCCTTGAGCTCCACGGTGGGGATGAGAACACGACCATATCAGGCTGACAAGAAGGGCACATGGTCCCCCCCACACATGCCTGTTGGTAGGATCTTGTCCCACGGTCCCTAGAGCCACCCAACTGCCGGGACATGAAGATGTGGGGTCATCTGCGGGCCTAGAAGAACAGGAGAAGCAGAGGGGAGGGGAAGGCAAAGACCCCACTCCAGGGGCTGCCACCCTCAGCAGGCACATGTGGGCTGTGCACCAGGAGCTGGAGACACAGCAGCAGGGACGAGGCCCCTTTCTATGTGATGCTCATGTCCAAGTGGCCGTCCACTGCACCTGGTCCCGTCTGCACCGCCTCGCATTCAGGAGGTGTAGACGGCCGACTGACGATGCTAAAATCTTACCCAGTGGAGGAGTCACCACAGAAACTCCCTAGCTGACAGGAAGGGACCCTATCTGACTTCTCCCAGACCAGTGCCTCACGTATGAATTGGAAAGCAAGGGAAAGGGACTGATTTAAATTTATGACAGAATATTTTGGACATGCAAAATGACTAAAAGGATAAAACACCAAGTTCCAGGGACCCACTGCCCAGTTTACAAATAAAAACGTGACCTTCCCTGATGCACCCGCCTTCCTCCCTGGAGAGCATCCTCAACCCCAGTTCCATTCCTCATTCCCAGGCATTAGAAGCAAGAGGGAAGGAGTTACTGACGGGACTTAACCAGTTGTACCATTCTGAATTTTAAAATACTGAATTAAAACAATCATTTACATTTGTAAAGAGCTTTACAGCTTACAAAATAATTTTACTTAATTTTCTCATTAATCTGCATAATCATCTATCAAGCAGGTATTATCAACTCTGTGCTATAGTAAGAAAATTAACTAATATCTATTTTTCATTTTAAAATTTTATTTTGTAGAGATAGATCTCCCTATGTTTCCCAGGCTGGTCTGCAACTCCTAAGCTCAAGCAGTCTTCCACCTCAGCCTCCCAAAGTGCTGAGATTACAGGTGTGAGCCACCATGCCCAGTCTAGCAAATACTTAGGTTGGGTGTGGTGGCTCACGCCTGTAATCCCAGCACTTTGGGAGGCCGAGGCGGGTGGATCACGAGGTCAAGAGATCGAGACCATCCCGGTCAACATGGTGAAACCCCGTCTCTACTAAAAATACAAAAATTAGCTGGGCATGGTGGCGCATGCCTGTAATCCCAGCTACTCAGGAGGCTGAGGCAGGAGAATTGCCTGAACCCAGGAGGCAGAGGTTGCGGTGAGCCGAGATCGCGTCATTGCACTCCAGCCTGGGTAACAAGAGTGAAACTCCGTCTCAAAAAACAAACAAGCAAGCAAATATTTAATCACAGCCCTTGGGGAGGCTGGGGAAGGTGGATGGCTTGAGCCCAGGAGTTAAAGACCAGCCTGGGGAACATGGTGAGACCCCATCTCTACAAAAAACATGAAAATTAGCTGGGTGTGGTGGTGCCCACCTGTAGTCCCAGTTACTCAGAAGACTGAGGCTGGAGGTTTGCTCGAGCTCAGGAGATAAAGGCTAGAGTGAGCTGAGACCATGCCACGACACTCCAGCCTAGGCAACAGGGAGACTGCCTCAAAAAAAAAAAAAAAAAAAAAAAAGAAAAAAAAAGGAAATGCAGTCTATTTCCCTCCCTTGAAACTGCATCTGTGGACAGGACTCAGGGGAAGATGCAGGTCATTTCCAAGGTCATCCCAAGGTCAGGTCACAGTAGCAATATGGCTTCTACCTGGTGTGTGCCAGCACTGACTCTCTTGCTTTCCTTCTCTCCCTTCCTCTGTCCCTGGGAACTCAGTCACCTGCAGTGTGGCAGCCCCACCTGCAGGCAGAGACTACTGCAGGTGCTCCAGGGCGGTCCTGGGCACCTGGCCTTGGAGTGGATGGGCTCTCAGTGATCCAGGCCACTTTTCAGGAGCTCCAGCTTCAGCCGACAGAGCAGAGACAAACTGGCCCTGACGAGCCCCGCCCAGATTACAGATTAATGGCAAAGTAAACATTGTTGGATGGGGGTGGTGGCTCACACCTGTAATCCCAGCACTTTGGGAGGCTGAGACAGGCAGATCACTTCAGTCCAGAAGTTTGAGACCAGCCTGGCCAACATGACGAAACCCTGTCTCTACTAAAAATATGAAGATTAGCCAGGCGCGTAGCTGGCACATGTCTGTGGTCCCGGCTACTCAGGAGGATGAGGCACAAGCATCGCTTGAACCTGGGAAGCAGAGGTTACAGTGCACCGAGATTGCGCCACTATCCTCCAGCCTGGGCAACAGAGTAAGACCTTGTTTAAAGTAAATAAATGAATAAATATAAATAAAAAATATTGTAATTGTTTTATGGCATGAAGTTGTGGGGCTATCTCTTACAACAGTTTAAACTAAACGGGGACTTATAAACTCACACACTAGAATGTCCGGGAGATGAGTGGGCTTCGGGAGGGGTATGACTCAGTTGCCCAGACAGGTAAGAATGTGCTTTCCTGTGCTACTGCCCTGCCTCCTCCTAGCACTGGTCTTCTACACATCTGCAAAACACAGCAGCAGCGGTTCCAGGTTGCATGGACATATACCAGAAAGGGAGAAAGTGGCAGCCCTAAGTAGCTCTTCAAAGAACTCCAGAAGTGGAACTATCTTTAGAGAGAGCCCCACAGCCTCCACTGGCATGTCTGCTCTCCCCATCGGGTCATGTGCTCATTTGGAGTCAGTCCAATTGGCTAGGGGAATGCCATGTGCTGACGGGCTAGAACTTAACCAATCAGTGGCAGACAGGGGGAATTAAAGAAATCAGGGTGGTTCTGGCAGTTGAGGATGGCTCAATCCCTTCTGCAACTGCACGATTAAGCAGGGAGAAAAGGAATTTGGGGGAACACGATTGCACAGTCCAGTAGATTACATCTAAAGGAAACTGTGCGACCTACCCTCTGCGGGAGGACTGAGCTCGTTCGGAAAAAACCGGACCGCAGGCAAGAAGAAAGTTCTTAAGTTCAGGCTTTATTGAGAGGAAAGAGCCTCCGGGTGTGCCAGCCGGGACGAAAAGGAAAAATGGCCGCCCCGCCCAGAGGGGCAGGGTTGTCTTATAAGGGTAGAAGGGCTGGAGGAGTGGAAAAGTTGGGGGCTAGGTGGTGGGCAACTGTTGGCCAGTTTGAACCGCTAGGCGGGAAGCCGGGCGGCGGGAAGCCGGGGAGAGCTGATGAGGCAGAAACCAGGCGGGCGGCGGGAAACTGGGGAGTGCTGATGAGGCAGAAGCGGCGGGAGGGGAGCTGGGGAGTGCTGATAAGGCAGAAGCGGCGGGAGGTGGCTGCGGCGGCGAGAAGGCCAGGGCAGTATGTAAAAATAGGAGAGCCTCTTTGTGGGGGGAGGGAAAGAGAGAGAGAGAGCTTTCAAGGTAGAGGCAGAGTTTTCCAAACAGAAACATTTCTCATGTACCCTCCGTGTTGACTTAAGTTATTCTGAGTACAATTTTACTTAAACATGTAGAAATGTAAAACTCTTTATAAGCTTCTGATGCTTTAGGCCATCATGCAGCCATAGAAGTAAAATAATTCACAAATTAAAATAAACCAAACTACCAAACCATTAACATTCAAATTAACAGTACTGATGTGACTCGGCGTGCTGGCTTGGCTGATGCAGGTGGCCCTCTCACAGTGACTGTGTGCTCCCCACCCATGGGCAGCTTCTCTGGAGTTAAGTGCTCTGCTCGCCTGCAGCTGGCTCTGTGCCTTTGGTGAGCGTTTCTTCCTTCTGTTTCAGTCTTTTCTTTAGTTTTTAAATGGCTAAGTGCAGTCTGTTGTGAGACTCAAAGGGGCTGAAGTGCTGATTCCTCCATGAAGCTGTCCATAATCAACCCAGCCCAAGTGTTGGAACTGGGTAAGACCTTGAGAAAATTTGAGTCCAACATGAAAATAAGGCCTAAAGGGGTCGATTGGACATCCCAGCGATTCTCCATTAAAAGCCAAAGATGATGTTTATTTTACGGCTTATAAACCAAGGCCAGGCACAGTGGCTCATGCCTGTAATCCCAGCACTTTGGGAGGCACAGTGGGAGGATCGCTTGAGGCCGGGAGTTCGAGATCAGTCTGGGCAACATAGTGAGACCCCATCTCCAAAAAAAAATTAGTTTATGGGGCCGGGCGCGGTGGCTCAAGCCTGTAATCCCAGCACTTTGGGAGGCTGAGGCGGGTGGATCATGAGGTCAACAGATCGAGACCGTCCTGGTCAACATGGTGAAACCCTGTCTCTACTAAAAATACAAAAATTTAGCTGGGCGTGGTGGCGCGTGCCTGTAATCCTGGAGGAGGCCTCCAGGTGGAGGCTGAGGCAGGAGAATTGCCTGAACCCAGGAGGTGGAGGTTGCGGTGAGCCGAGATCACACCATTGCACTCCAGCCTGGGTAACAAGAGCAAAACTCCGTCTCAAGAAAAAAAAAATTAGTTTACAAACCAGTGCCTGCTTTAGCTCATTGAGCCCTCCAGGAATCCCTGAGAGATAGCACAGTGAGGAAGTGTCATTGTCATGGATATCCTACAGGTAACAAAACCAAAGCCAGCCCGGAAAGGCTGAGTGACTCACCCAAGCTGTCTTAGCTGGTGACGTTACCAGGCCCAGGCTTGCAGCAGGTCTGCAGACCAGCAGTTAGTAATTATGCCCTGCTGCTTCCCTGAGTGTATCGTAGCTCACACATCCTTAGCTTGGGGCAGGATGACTAGGAGTGGGAGGAACACATCACTGCTTCAAAATCACAGTTGTGTGGTTGTTGCTTAAAATACTCATGCAGGCCAAGTGCAGTGAGTCACGCCTGTAATCCCAGCAGCTTGGGAGGCTGAGACGGGCGGATCACCTGAGGTCAGGGGTTTGAGACCAGCCTGGCCAACATGGTGAAACCCCATCTCTACTAAAAATACAAAAAATTAGCTGGGCGTGGTGGCGCACACCTGTAATCCCAGCTACTCTCGAGGCTGAGGCAGGAGAATAGCTTGAACCTGGGAGGCGGAGGTTGTAGTGAGGTGAGATCACACCACTGCACTCTAGCCTGGGCGACAAGAGCAAAACTCCATCTCAAAACATAAATAAATAATAAAATAAAATAAAAAACTCATGCCCACACGCCTTTGGAAATCACTGCTGTGTTCTCCTGGTGGGTCCTTGAAGAAAGCTGGGACATTCACCGTGCAGTAGTTCACTCTGTTCGTCGCTATTGGCCATCCACAATATAGAAGACTGTCACAGTGTTAACGGGATGGACTAGAGAGCGCAATCCACACAGGGAATCGTGTCAAACCTGGGCCCCGGGCCCGGCACAGTGGCTCACGCCTATAATCTCAGCACTTCGGGAGGCCGAGGCAGGCGGATCACGAGGTCAAGAGATTGAGACCATCTTGGCCAACATGGTGAAATCCTGTCTCTACTGAAAATACAAAAATTAGCTGTGTGTAGTGGCGTGCGCCTGTAATCCCAGCTGCTCAGGAGGCTGAGGCAGGAGAATCACTTGAACCAGGGAAATGGAGGTTGCAGTGGGCCGAGATTGGGCCACTGCACTCCAGCCTGGACGACAAAGAGACTCTGTCTCAAGGAAAAAAAAAAAACACAGAAATGCCTGTGCCCCAGAAAGCCAAGCATTGCGTATAATTCGCAAAGATGTGAGACTCCACGATGCAGAGCTACTGAATCAAAGCGAAGTGCTGAGGGGGAGCGGGCTGACCGAAGCGGACCGCACGTAAAATCCGGCAGCACTCATCATGGGCCCTTTGTATGTTCTTTGCATTTGGTGTGTCCGTTACCCGCCGAACAGAAAATAGTGACGCTGTGCAGTTTCACCCATCAGAGTCACCACTTTTTAACAAGAATGAGCTAACCCTAATTTTTTATTTTTTGAGATAATCTTGCTTTGCCACCCAGGCTGGAGATCAGTGGCACCATCTCAGATCCCTGCAACTTCCGCCTCCCCAGGTCAAGCGATTCCCGCCTCAGTGTCTCGAGTAGCTGGGACTACACGCAGCCATCACCCAGCTAATTTTTGTATGTTTAGTATAGACAGGGTATTGCCATGTTGACTAGGCCAGTCTCAAACTCCTGGGCTCATATGACACACCCAACTCGGCCACCCAAAGTGTAAACCTAAAATTTTTCTGTGTGACTTTGTTATTGTGGTAAAATATACATAACATAATATCAATCATTTAACCTTTTTTTGTTTGTTGAGACAGGGTCTCGCTCTGTTGTTCAGGCCGGAGTACAGTAACATGATCATAGCTCACTGCAGCCTTGATCTCTCATGCTCAAGTGATCCTCCTGCCTCAGCCTCCCGAGCAGCTCGGACTACAGGGGCATGCCACCACACTTGGCTAATTTTTAAATTTATTCTAGATAAGGTCTCACTATGTTGCCAAGGCTGGTCTTAAACTCCTGGGCTCAAGCAATCCTTCTGCCTTGGCCTCCCAAAAACGCTAGGATTCTAGGTGTCGGCCACCATAACTGGCCTCATGTAGCCATTTTTAAACATACAGTTCGGTGACATTAAGGACATTCACACTGCTGTGCAACAATTACCACCATCCATTTCCAGAACTTTCCCATCTTCCCAAACTGATATTCTGTCCCTGTGAAACACTCCCCGTTCCCTCTGTCCCAAGCCCTGGAATTTGACTATGAAGGCGCCTTATGAAAGTGGGATCCTGGAGCACGTGCTCCCTGTGTCTGGCTTATTTCACGTAGCATGTTTCCAAGGCTCATCGTGTTGTGAGCTGTGTCGTCATTTCCTTCCTTTGTAAGACTCAATCACATTAGATTCTATGGACAGACCTGAGGGAATCTGTGGGGATCGCTCCCGTGTGAGGCCCCTGGGAAATGGGCCTTGCCATACGGTGAGCTTGAGCCCGGACACAGATCCCTGGTTGGGGGAGTCGAGCTGAGGGAAAGCAGGAACTGAGAGAGGGACTATGTTATTCTAAATAGTTAACAGACATTACTTTATGAATATGAGGACTTGGGAGTCAATGTGTCCACTTTCGGCTCCTTATGGTTTATTGCTTGATTGTGTTCATTTTGGACCCTTGTTACCTTCATTGTAAAATATTAACATAAGTATTTACACTTGGTAACTTACTTACCGTAACTTACTGGGTGTAACAGTAACTTACTTACCATGTCTTACAGGGCGTGACTGTAACTTACTTACCTTGACCTATTGGGCGTAACCTACTTACTGAAAGTAACCTACTTACTGGGTGTAACCTACTTAATGGGATTAACTTACTTACTGGGCATAACTTAGTGGGCGTAACTTGCTTACTGTAACTTAAGTACGTTGATCTGGTGTAAACAACTTTGACTTCAGAAAAGTATATAATGAAACATTGCAAAAATAAAGCTGCTTCTTGGACATAGCCTAAGTCAGCCCTCCAGACTCCGCTTTTCTATTTTCTTTCACTTCCGCGCACTCTCTCCCTCAGGTTGAACGAGACATCTACGTTGGTGGTCTTGGGGACTCCTGCAGGTCGGTAGTCCCCCGGCAGACGTGCCGGACCCCGACACAGACTGCAGTTTGTTCATCCATTTATCTGTTGATGGACACCTGGGCTGCTTTCCCTTTTGGCGGCTGTGAATAACGCTGCTATACGAGTATTGATATCGTACAGGCCAGGTGTTCACGCCTATAATTCTAATGGCTCTTGAGGCTGAGGTGGGAGGATGGTTTCAGGCCAGCAGTTCATGACCAACCTGGGCAAAAAGTAAAATCCTGTCTCTAAAAAACAAAAATTAGTCAGGCATGGTGGGGCATGCCTGTAGTTCCAGCTACTCAGGAGGCTGAGGTAAGAGGATCCCTTGAGCCCAGGAGTTTGAGGCTGTAGTGAGCTATGATCATGCCGCTGCCCTCCAGCCTGGACAACAAGCAAGACCCGGTCTCTTAAAAAAGAAAAAAAGTATTGGTATACAAGTATTTGATTGAGTCCCGGCTTTCAATTCTTTTGGACATATACCTAGGAGTTGAAGAAACCTACATTTTTAAGGCAAAACTTCTTCTCTGTTGTGGCAAAATCATAGCCACCAGAAAAGAAAACTTCAGATCTTGTAAGGATGAACAAACAAAGGTTGATTTCATTTCTTATTTCTTCTCCACCCCTGACATTTTCAAAGGAAAATCACAAGCCCAATGGGCAGCGAAGTGCAGCGTGAGGCTCCACACACACGGAGGTTTCCCCGTGAAACGGAAAATTGTGATGGGATTCACAGTCTGTTCTACATCATAAGCCCTGACTTGGTCATTTAAAAAATTGTAGAATAATTTTTTAAACAGAGATTTAAACTTAAACATTTTTAATGACAACCTAGTGATATCCTGAAGTCTGGGTTTTACAGTCACTTCTGCATGGAAAACAGAGAACGGTAATAAACTGAACGCAGAGCCATGAACGCACACACAGGTGTCAAATACCACCCTAGACACAAGCCTCCCTCCTCCATCTGTGGCTCATTGTATTAGTCTGTTCTCACCCTGCTACAAGGACATATCAGAGACTGGGTAGTTTATAAAGAAAAGAGGTTTAATTGACTCACAGTTCAGCATGGCTGGAGAGGCCTCAGGACACTTACCTATCATGGTGGAAGGGGAAGCAAACATGTCCTTCTTCACACGTCGGCAGGAGGGAGAAGAATGAGAGCCGAGTGAAGGGGGAAGCCCCTTATAAAACCATCGGATCTCCTGAGAACTTACTCACTGCCACAAAAACAACATGGGAGAAGCTGCCCCATGTATCAACCACCTCCCACCAGGTCCTTCCTACAATTCAACATGAGATGTGGGTGAGGACAGTGTCTCACTCTCTCGCTCAGGTTGGAACTCAGTAGCATGACAATAGGTCACTGCAGCCTTGGATTCCTGGGCTCAAGCAATCCTCCAGCCCTACCCTCCCAAGTACCTGGGACTACAGGCATGTATCACTATGCCCAGCTAATTTTTAAATTTTTTTTGTACAGAGGGATCTCACTATGTTGCCCAGGAAGGCCTCAAACTCCCAGCCTCAAGTGATTCTCCTGCCTCACCATCTTTCAAATTAAATTTGCTAAGTAGGTTTTTGATTATATGTTTCCTGAGGAAATATGATTACTTTAAGATATTTTATGTATTTTTGAGGTGCAAACACTGACATACAGATAGTAAATAGCTCAGTATGAAGTAGGAGGAAGATTGATAGCCATGGACCTTGTCCAACCCCCTCATTTTACAAATTAGAAAATTTGATCTCAGAGAGGATAGAAAATTACCCAGGTGGATACAATTTCCAGTTCTCTTTCTTTATATTAATATCATGATGCCTTGTTATTGTCCTAAAATTATTTCAGTCATGTTTCGAAAAGAGCCCTTTTCCTTCCTTTTCAAGATGAGGAGGACGTTGAGCAAAGCACACCCACGTGGGGCCATGTTGGCCATCTGTTTGCCGTGTCCTGCCCCCTCCTCCCTCCCTTACAGAATATCTTCCTTCCTTTGTGGAATTCCCTGCTGCTGCACAGGTCCTGGGCCAGCCCTGCCCCCGGCGATGTCCACTCCTCCTCAGGTAACACTGGGTAAGGCCTCTCTGTCGAAGGTTCCAGCCTGGATTCCGCTTCCCCAGGTCCCTCACCTCCACGATTGCTCTGGGGGTTACTGTTTTGTTCTACCCAGGTGACATCATTTAATTTTTTTTTTTTCCAGGATCTCACTCTGTCACTCAGGCTGGAGTGCGGTGGCGCAATCTCAGCTCACTTCAGCCTCAACCACCCAGGCTCTATTGATATTCCCACCTCAGCCTCTTGAGTAGCTTGAACTACAGGCATGTGGTCGCATGCCTGGGTAATTTTTGTATTTTTTGTAGAGGCGGGGTTTCACCATGTTGCCCAGGCTGGTCTCAAACTCCTGGGTTCAAGCAATCTGCCTGCCTCAGCCTCCGAAAGTACTGGGATTACAGGATGAGCCACCATACGGGGCCATCACTTTTAATTTTTTAAAGTATCTTATTGGATAAAATTCTAAACATCTACAGAAGTAGAGAGATGGGCCTAATAAATTCTCACAGCCAAGCAGCCCCCAGTGTACCCCTCAGCTCGTCTCCTCTACAGCCACCTTCTCCCTGCACCTGCACCCTTTTCCCACCCAGCTTATTTTGAAGTCAGCACCACACATTGTACCATTTCACCCATAAACATTTCAGGATAAAAGGTAAGGACTGGGTTTCTGGTAAACCATAACTACCATTCCATTATCACACCCAATACTTAACTCATCAAATATTGATAAGGACAGGGGGCAGGAAAGCACTTAAACACTGGTACTGTGGCCCAAAGTGAGAACAGACATCCCTGTTTTCTGGCTCAAATGCTGCGTTTTCCAAAACCACCCATGGCCTGCCTTGCCCCCAGTCCTGTGCTCATAAAAACCCCAGGTTCAGCTGGCAGGGAGAGGAGAAACAGCTGGACGTTACAGACTATGGTTGGACATCAGAGAGAAGTGACTTGACTTCAGAGGAACAGCTTGAGGGCGTAGCTTCGGAGAAATTACCTTCCCACTTCATCCCCTTTTCAGCTCCTCTTACTGCTGAGAGCCACTTTCATCAGCAGCAAAATCTCCTGCATTGACCACCTTCAATTCATTCATGCAACCTCATTCCTCCTGGGCGTCAGACAAGAACTCATGTGCTACAAGTGTGGCTGCAAAAGGCTGTCACGTTGGCCGTGTGCTGAGTGTCAGTACTTAAGCCACAGATGGCAAAGCTAAAAGTGCACTGTAACAGTTCCTCTGGGGCTTCAGGGGTTGCAGGCACCCTCCTTTAGATGCTGCTGTGGGGCAGGTATGGAGATTGCTCTTGCCAGCACCCAAAAGCGCTCACCCTGACTCCTGCACATGCTCACCTGTGTCCCCCTCCCACGAGGGGTGGAGCAGCAAGTGAGTGGAGTTCGCCCCTGCTGGTGCCCATACACTTCAGTTCCCGCCTGCAAAGAGGTCAGGAAACATCCTGCTTCAATATCCTTCCTCCCATAGGCCTGGTTCCCAAACTGGAATCTCTCCAGTTCTGTTTTTATAAAGTAAAACTCTAAACCCTAAACGAAGGGGAAAGAGTGATGGCCTAACCCTAGGGGCTAGGAACTGGGCGTCTAACTAGTCCCTATCCAGACGTTGAACCACAGCCGTTCACCCTCCTGCCTGGCCCGACCCTGCGAGGGGTCCAGCAGCTGTGCTTCTTCCCCTGTCCTTAATGGATGTAAAGCAAACGGTGACCAATGAAGCCCTTAAACTGGCCGATTAAAAACAAAAGGAAAAGTGACAGAGGCAGATTCCAGTTGGTTTAGAGATTCACTTTGCTGAGGTTCAGCACGTGCCCAGGAGAAAGAAACACAAGCCGCCATGGAATCTGTGTCCTGTGCTTTTTCCAAAGAGGGGTTTGAGGACTTCAGTATTTCAAGAGAAAGGAGAAAAGGGAAGCAAAGGAGGTAGGAAAACAGGTGAGTGGACACATTCTCAAGAGGCTCTGATTAGCGCTCAGCAAATCTACACTTCACCTGTGTAAAGAATGGAGCGGGCTGGGCACAGGGGCTCATGCCTGTCATCCCAGCACTTTGGGAGGCTGAAGTGGGCCGATCACTTGAGGTCAGGAGTTCCAGACCAGACTGGCCAACATGGCAAGACCCCATATCTACTAAAACACAAAAAAAATTAGCATGGTGGCACACGCCTATGATCCCAGCTACTTGGGAGGCTGAGGCAGGAGGATCGTTTGAACCCAGGAGGCAGAGGTTGCAATGAGCTAAGATCGCACCATTGCACTCCAGCCTGGGAAACAGAGCGAGACTCCATCTCAAAAAAAAAAAAAAAAAAGAACTTAGTTGGGGGAAAGCCAGTCACACATTCGTCTCACACTCAGTAGGTTTGACATGAGATCATATAGGCATGGGAATTACAGCTGTTTGGAAATGGAAGGCAGGCATTGCGTGACCCCATTCCCTTGGGCGTGGCGAGTTTGGTCTCGAGGTTTTACTTTCCTTTCACACGGGTCATGTGGAGGAATCACAGGCGGCTCCAGACCATCCTCCCCTCTGGGGCATCATTTTCAGGTCCACTGTCGGCTGCTGTTCTTCGACACTGTGGTTCAGGCTTCCAGGCGTCTTGTCTTACCACAAGCAAGACTTCTGTTTCTGTGACTTTGCCTTCTAATTTTGCTTCAGACAGAGGGTAAGGTAGAAATCCTGTCATCCCGTCATCTTGAAACTGTAGGGCCAGGTGTGGTGGCTCACACCTGTAATCCCGGCTACTCGGGCGGCTGAGGTTGCAGTGAGCCAAGATTGCACCACTACACTCCAGCCTGGGAGACAGAGCGAGACTCCATCTCAAAAAATAAAAAAATAAAAAATAAAGAAACTAAGTTTTGGTATTTTAAAAATGCTTTTAACTATCTAAAATCATAGTTTTAATCAAATTATAGTTTTAGTTAAGATTTTTTTAATTAAAAATCTAGTAGGATAGATGATATCTTGCTAATATATATTATTTAGAATGTGCTTTTTCCCCCAAACTTTCTAAGGGAGGGAGTTGCACCCTTGATCTCAGACCATACCTTCAGTTAGAGGTCTTTCGATAACCCTAAAATTGTATTGCTAAGTGAGGGTGGTATTTCTACTTAAGGGACTGACCTGGGAGCCACACAGACTTAGATTTGAATCGCACCTGTGGTACATTAGCTGTGTAACACTGGGTACACGGCTAACAAAACTCATATTTGAATCACTTTAATTGTCCAGGACTCATGACTTACAGGGTTGTGGTGCAACCCGAGTTAATACACAGAAAGCGCTTGCCTAAGGTACAGTAGGTGCTCCACACGTGGGAGCCACTTTTATTTTCCTCACGTTGGCAAGATCCAAGGAAGGCTGTGATGGCCACGTGAGCAGGGTAACTAGAACGGTTCTCTCCTTTCCAGTTTTTTTTTTTAAGATGGAGTTTCGTTGTTGTTGCCCAGGCTGGAGTGCAATGGCACGATTTCGGCTCACTGCAACCTCCACGTCCCGGTTGAAGCGTTTCTCCTGACTTAGCTTCCCAGACAGCTGCACTATCATCTCACTAATTTTTGTATTTATATATATTTTTTTGAGATGGAGTTTTGCTCTTATTGCCTAGGCTGGAGTGCAATGGCACGATTTCAGCTCACTGCAACCACCACCTCCCAGTTTAAGCATTTCTCCTGCCTTAGCTTCCCGGGTAGCTGGGATTGCAGGCACGCACTACCACACCTTGCTAATTTTTGTGTTTTTTTTGAGACAGAGTTTTGCTCTTGTCACCCACACCAGAGTGCAATGGCACGATCTCAGCTCACTGCAACCTCAGCCTTCCAAACTGTCTATTTTCCGCCCACACTTGCTTCCTCTAGGGCAAACCACCCCTCAGGAGTTCTCAGGAGAGTTCGGGAGTCACGATATCCTTCTCTAACAAACCACTTGTAAGTTCCCTGAGTGACAACTAACTTGCCCTTTCTGAATGACTGAACTCACTCCAGAAACCAAATCTAGACAATACACATTGTCATTGCTGACAGTCAAGGTCGTGGCTGCCAAGCATTACAGGCTAGCTGACGCGGACGCCCTGACAGCGGTGACTTGCACACAGCCCGAGAACCACGCCGTGGCCTACAAAGGGTGTGTGTTCAGAGTCCTGAGCGAAGGAATCTGGGGGTGTCCAACCAGGAGGTTCTCTTCACCTCTGCGGGACCTCCGAACCCTGGCCCACTCCTTGGAACACAGGCTGAACAGGGGCTGGAGGTGGGGAAATGCCGTATAAACTGCTTTTTACACATAGCAGCAGTTTTCCAGTCCAGCCCGCCGCTCCTGGCCTGCCTGGTGTGTGAGTTTTCGGTGACCCCCATGCCGCACTCACTGGCTCCGAGTCTATTCTTCAGCCTCAGTGCTGAAGAGCAGACAGTGTGTGAGTTTTCGGTGACCCCCCATGCTGGGCATGGTAAAACCCCATCTCTACTCAAACGATACAAAAGTCAGGGTACCTTGGGACACAGTGCCTCCCTGATGGAGTCAGCAGGGGTCTGGAGAAACACTGAGTAGTGCATTGACGGGGCAGAGAGCCAGGCGCTTTGATTAGGAGGAGGAACGCCAGACTTCACTTGTTCAGCGGGACTCACACAAGACAGCACGGCACAAAGGGTCCCTGGTCCGCTGCAGTCCCGGGCCTCTCGGTCCAGTGCGAACCCCTCTCCTGCCCTGCCTCTCTGCAGCTCCTCCTGCTCACTGATAAAGCCAGAGGACTCATGCACATGGGAAAGTTCCCGAAATGTAGGGAGGCAAGCGAGACTTCATTCACGCCCACAGCCTCTGGTTCCGCTTCCCAAATTCCTTCCTAAGTGGTGAGAAGAGGCATTTGGTACACTGGGGTGTTCGCCTCTTGACCCTCCCTGCTCAACCCTTCACTCTCCACCTTCTGCTCCGGGGCCCATCCACCCTCAGGTGCGAGGGTAACAGTGGGTCTCCAGTGCACCTGCACCATGCCCTCCCAAACTGCAGACTAGAAAAACTAGGTCCTTATTCACGTAGCACCAGCTTCCCTCCAGAGGAAGAGAAGACCGTTGTCCTTGTCTGACGGGTTCTTCCCACCTGCTGCATAAACCAAACCAACTCACCGGACCACAGCATTGCAGTAAGAAAGAATTGTTGGGAGGCTGCCCATGGGGGAGACAGAGTTACTTCTCAACTCGGTCTCCCCAAGAACTCAAAGCTGAGGGTTTTAGGGACAATTTGGTGGGCAGGGGCCTAGGGAGTGGTGCTGCGGATTGGTTGTGGATGAAATCATAGGTGTGTGGAAAACACTCTTCATGCAAGTCCCCTTGGGGGGCCCCAGGACGGACTGAGTCACGAGTCTGGATGGGATCAGTCCATTGCCAAAAATCTAAAAAAAAAATCTCAAAAAGCCAATCTTAGGTTCTATAAGAGTGATGTTATCTCTAGGAGCACTTCAGCATGTCACAGATCCTGTCACCTCTGGCCACATGACTCGAACAGGAAGAGATTATAGAAAGTATATGTACATTTTGGCAGAATTCAGGTCCCTTCCACAACCCTAATCTCACCGGCTTTCCTTAGTCTTACAAATGCAGTTTTGGGTCCCTGGGCAAGGAGGGATTTAGCTTTAGGGAGGGGTGTTATTATCCTCACTTTCCAGTTAAACTATAACTAATTCCTCCCAAGGCCAGCTTGGCCTATACCCAGGAATGAGTGAAGACAGCTTAGAGCTTAGATGCAAGATGGAGTCAGCTGTGGCAGGCTTCTCCTACTGTCATAATTTTGCAAAGGTGGTTTCACATCACAGCCTGGATGACACAGCAAAATCCTGACTCTAAGAAAAAAAAAAAAAAAAAGGCAGGCAGGCACGGTGGCTCAAGCCTGTAATCCCAGTACTTTGGGAGGCTGAGGCGGGTAGATCACTTGAGGTCAGGAGTTCAAGACCAGCCTGGCCAACATGGTAAAACCTTGTCTCTATTAAACAAAAAAAAATTAGATGGGCCTGGTGGTACATGTCTATAATTCCAGCTACTTGGGAGGCTGAGGCAGGAGAATTGCTTAAACCCGGAAGGTGGAGGTTGCAATTAGCTGAGATTGTGCCACTGCACTCCAGCCCAGATGACGGTGGGAGACTCCATCTCATAAAAATAAAAATAAAAAAAGAAAAGAAAAGGAGGTTTAATTGGATTTACAGTTCCACATGGCTGGGGAGACCTTACTCATGGCGGAGGGTGAAAGGTGCTTCTTACATGGCAGCAGCAAGAGAGAATGAGGAAGAAGCAAAAGGGAAAACCCTGAGAAACGCAGCAGGTCTCTTGAAACTTATTCTCCATCACAGGAACAGCACAGGAAAGGCCAGGTGCCACGATTCAATTACCTCCCCAGGTCCCTCCCACAACAGGTGGGAGTTCTGGGAGACACAATTGAAGCTGACATTTGAACGGGGACACAGCCAAAACCTTATCAACCCCTTATCTTCACCCAGACATTCCTTTCTAGTCATTCAGGTCTTTAGATAAGACTTAACTCTGTCAACTGATCACCAATCAGAAAATCTTTGAATCCATCTATGACCTGTGACCCGGAGCCCCCACCCACCACTACCGGCTGTCCCGCCTTTCCGGACTGAACCAATGCACATCTCACATGCACCGATGGATGGCCTATGTCTCCCTAAAACATAAAACCCAGCTGTAGCCCGACCACCTCGCCCACGTGTTCTCAGGAGCTCCTGAGAGCCTCCCTCAGGCCATGGTCACGCTTATTTGACTCAACGTAAATTTCAACTGTTTTACAGTTTCCCTCTTTTCTTCCATAAGACCCAAATGACGAGAGTTTGAAGAAAGTATTTAGGGCCCAGGAACAGCCAGGCGGGACGGCCAGCGGCAAAGCAGCCTCGGCCCCTTCAAGGCACCGGGTGAAGAGCCGGGATCCCAGCACCCGCCTGGGGCTGCCTAGAGAGAGGCAGCCAGGAAGATGGGCTGGGGCTTGGGCCTATCCTACCTTCACAAGGAAGCCACAGGAGGGTTTAAGCAGCATGGGGCAAGATTTGACTCACAACCTGTGTTTTTTTGTTTTTGTTTTTTGTTTTTTTTTGAGACAGAGTCTTGCTCTGTCGTCCAGGCTGGAGTGCAGTGGCACGATCTCGGCTCACTGTAGCCTCCACCTCCCGGGTTCAGGCAGTTCTCCTGCCTCAGCCTCCCAAGTAGCTGGGATTACAGGCGCCTACCACCACGCCTGGCTAATTTTTGTACTTTTAGTAGAGACGGGGTTTCACCATCTTGGCCAGGTTGGTCTTGAACTCGTGATGCACCTGCCTCGGCCTCCCAAAGTGCTGGGATTATAGGTGTGAGCCACTGTGCCTGGCCTGACTCACAATCTGAGAAGAGCTTCACCTGTCTTCTTCCAATCAAAAGCAAGTGAACAAATTATGAGGCTGGTCGTGGTGGCTCAGGCCTGTAATCCCAGCACTTTGGGAGGACAAGGTGGGCAGATCACCTGCGCTCAGGAGTTTCAGACCAGCCTAGCCAACATGGCAAAACCTTGTCTCAACTAAAAATACAGAAATTAGCCAGGCATCATAGCAGATGCTTGTAATCCCAGCTACTTGGGATGGGGGTGAGGCAGGAGAATCACTTGAACCCAGAAGGCCCAGGTTGCCGTGAGCCAACATAGCGCCACTGCACTCCAGCCTGGGCTGCAGAGCAAGACTCAAAAAAACCCCAACAAATTGTGGGTTGAAAAAGTCAAAGAAGTTTGGAATATTATTCAATCTGAGGAAGGGACTCCCGACACAGCTGGCAATGATGGATGAGCCCTGAGGACACTCTGCGACTGTAATTGGCCCCCAGCCCGGGGCACGGCCAGTGAGTACTCAGACACCCACCCCCAGAGTTGCAGCCAATGGAGTTTTAATCCCAAGGCCTTCGAACAAGCAGAAGGGAGAACTCCTCAAATCCGCCCCTGGCGAGTTTAGGGGGCCAGTAGGGATTTCAGGGGGTTGGAGTGGTCCGAGGTGGGACCAGACCAGATGGGAGGAGGAGCGTGGGGAGAAGTCACAGGACGGGGACAGGAAGAACCTGCATTCTCAGGCGGACTCCGCTCCTCTGCGGGGTTCTCGGGCGGACTCCTCGGTTCCTCTGTGGGGTTCTCGGGCGGACTCCTTGGTTCCTCTGTGGGGTTCTCAGGCGGGCTCCGTTCCTCCGTGGGGTCTTCACACTGGTCGGCGTCCGCTCATCTGCTGGAATCCAGGAGCTGAGGAACAACTTGGCAATTCTTAAACAAAGGCCTCATCACGCCAACGTCTGCCATCCTCTATGTGGGAATACTGCGGCTGCAGGTGGTCCGGGGCGTGGGCTACGGGATTTCAGCACCAACGAAGTGAGCCCCGGTGCAGCCTGATGAACGCTTCATGACACCTCTGTTGCCACCCAGAACCCAGCATGCGATTCTGGTTAACCCTGTGAGGGCAGTTTCAATTATGCCGTCAAGTCAGAAAAGGACTGAGCCAGTCACACAAGGACCAATACTGTGTAATTCTACTTATGTGAAATATCTGAACTGCTGCCAGGAAGGTGATGGGGAGTTAAAAAAGGAAAAAAAGATATATGTAAAATTAATACAGGCCGGGCGCAGAGGCTCCTGTAATCCCAGCACTTTGAAAGGCCGAGGCAGGTGGATTACTTGAGGTCAGGAGTTCGAGACCTGCCTGGCCAACATGGCAAAACCTTGTCTTAAATAAAAATACAAAAATTAGCCCAGTGTGGTGGCACCTGCAATCCCAGTTTCTCAGGAGGCTGGGGCAGAAAAATTGCTTGAACCTGGGATGGGAGGTTTTAGCGAGCCAAGATCGTACCACTGTACTCCAGCCTGGGCGATAGAGCAAAACTCTGTTTTTTTGTTTTTTTAAAAAGAAGAATTTAACAGAGAATGTAGAATGGTGGCTGCCAAGGGCTGAGGGGAAGGGGTGGGAGTCTGTGCTGAATGGGGACAGAGCTTTGTCATAGCTGGGGAGAATGAGAAAAGCACAATATGAATGAGCTTAATGCCCCTGACACTTAGAGACGTGAAAACGGTCAATTTTACGTTATGTTTATTTCACCATTATTAAAAATAAAAATAAGTTTAAAAATTTTCTTAGGTCAGGCGAGGTGGCTCATGCCTGTAATCCCAGCACTTTGAGAGGCTGAGGCAGGCAGATCACTTGAGCCCAGGAGTTCGAGACCAACCTGGGCAACATAGCAAAACGCTGTTTCTACTAAAAATACAATAATTACTCTGGTGTGGTGGTGAGTGCCAGTGGTCCCATGAAGGAGGCTGAGGTGGAAGGATCATCTGAGCCCAGGAGGTCGAGGCTGGAGGGAGCTGTAATTGTGCCACTGCACTCCAGCCTGGGCGACAGAGGGAGACCCTGTCTTAAAATTGCAATAAAATTAACTTTTAAACTCAAGGGACCTGAGGGAATGTGGAGAGTAATTGGAGAGGAGGCCGAAGAGCAGATTGGTGGCCACCGTGCCTGCAGCCTCCCATCAGGCATCTCATCACAGTGCCCAGCCCTTCCTTCCCGCCCTACCTCCAATTCCCCTCAGGACCGGGGAGGGTCACACAGGGCCTCCCAGCACCCGCCACCTGCCTGCGGCCAGAGCTCACAGGGCTCTTCTGCCTGCCCTCCTCCTTTCTTATTACGTCACCGAGTTCCCTTTTCATGAGAGGGAGTCTTGCCCTGTCGCCCAGGCTGGAATACAGTGGCACAACCTCGGCTCACTGCAACCTCCTTCTCACGGGTTTAAGCCATTCTCCTGCCCCAGCCTTCCCAGGTGTGCCATCATGCCCGGCTAATTTTTGTATTTTTAATAGAGACAGGGTTTTATCATGTTGGCCAGGCTGGTCTCAATCTCTCCGCCCACCTTGGCCTCCCAAAGTGCTGGGATTACAGGGGTGAGCCACCTTGCTGGCCTCCTCACTGATTTTGCTTTTCCCTCCCAGACTGTGGCTGGCCAGAGGTGAATTGATCTTTAATCTTTTTAAGCGACTGCTAGCGGGGAAGAGTCATTTCAATGAGAAGCAGAACAAAGTGAAACACAGCCCAGCCTCTCCCAAGACATCCTCAGAAGCCCTGAGTAGGGAGCGCGTGGTGGGTCACCAGGGGCCAGCAGCAGGGGTCTCAGTTCCAAAGCACAGCACAGCCCCTCCCAAGACATCCTCAGAAGCCCTGAGTAGGGAGCGCGTGGCGGGTCACCAGGGGCCAGCAGCAGGGGTCTCAGTTCCAAAGCACAGCCCTGCCCCTGCTTCCACCTGAGTGATGTTTGTACACTCCCTGAAAATTCAATCGACAAATGGCTGGCCTGCTAGGAGGAGAAGCAGGTAAGTGCTGGGCAGGGGGTGGGGCGGGGGTGGGGGATGGGCCACAGGCATGGGAGAGAGAAGTAGGCGAACGTATTTGATGTAGCTGATTCTTTAAAGCGAATTTTGAAAGAAGCAGTGAATTTTGACGGCAGAGGGAAATACCCAAACCGTGATGCTGTTGAGGCCTGAGCCCTCCTGGGCCACAAGGCAATGTCACTGACCCCCAGAAGAAATTCATTTTCAGAGATTATTTTTAAAAGCCAGGAGCTTTTCCAGGAGTCTCAAAGCATAAATCACGCCTTTCACAAAAACCCATAAAATATACTCAGCCTGTGAGACGAAATGAAATCGAGACAAGCTAATCTTCGTAGGGGCCAGCGCCGTTCACAGTCCCAGGCAGAGGCCCCAGCAGGGTTCCCTGCTCCCGGAGAGGAAATTCATAAACCAAAACAAGCATTGCACGCCGTTTTCTGCTCTGCAAATGGCCGGCTCCCTACCCTCCTGTGCGCCGCTTCCAGGCCGTGGGGCTGCCGCTGCCCCAGGAAGTTCCACCCGCTTCTCCCACGCGGCGAGGGCTTTGTTCAGACCCACCTTACAGCAATGCGAGTAGCCTTCTGCCACGAAGCAGCATGGCTTTGAGAGGCTTTTCACACAGTCCTGAGCAGTAGAGCAGCCGGAGACGGGTGGTGCTTTCCTGCTCAGAACCAGCGGCGTGTCGCAGCCCATAAACAAGCCCCAGGTGACGGCTGCCCTCCCTGTGCCCACCACAGCATCTCCTGCATCTGCCAGCACCCTGGCCCGCAGCTGGTGCAGCCCAGGGATGTCAGAGCCTTCAAACAACAGGCTGAAATAACTTTCAAGATTTAATGTTCACTCTCTTGGACTTGAAAGTACCAGCATTGGAGGATGCGGCTGAGGACACTGAGTACCCTGCAAAGGCGGGTTCAAATGAAAACAGTGGAAAGTCTAGAATGATGGAACCCACACGGAGGGCGCCCACCTACACTGTGATCGTTTGGATTAAGTGATCGGGTACTAACCGACTAGGCAATCTCAGACTCACTTGTTCGTTGCTCTCGAGTCCTAGGGTAAGAATTGAATAACCCTGTGAAAAGACAAGATTACAACAGAGTTAGTGTGAAGATCTTAATTGGCTTTTTTTGCTATTCTAGAATCAGGCAACACTTCTTTCAATAAAATAGGTCGGGCACGGCGGCTCACGCCTGTAACCCCAGCACTTTGGGAGGCCTAGGTGGGTGGATCACCTGAGGTCAGGAGTTAGAGGCTAGCCTGACCAACAAGGTGAAACCCCATCTCTACTAAAAACACAAAAATTAGCCAGGCATGGCGGAAGGTGCCCGTAGTCCCAGGTACTTGGGAGGCTGAGACAGGAGAATTGCTTGAACCTGGGAGGTGGAGGTTTCAGTGAGCTGAGATCGCACCACTGCACACCAGCTGGGCAATGGAGCAAGACTCTGTCTCAAAAAACAAACAGACAAACAACCCACAGAGGCCAGACAGGGAGGGGCTTCTTCAGAATGTGCTGACACCAGATGGCCATGAGGCTGCCATGAGGGGGCTTGACAAACCCAAGAGGCGGCCAGCAGGGGAGGCTTTGCAGATCCTCATGTACCAATTCACTGAGACAGTGTTACAGCAGCAGAGAAGGAGTGCCAAGCAGGAGGAAAGGAGCTTATCCTTACTAACAACTCAGAGGCTGGATTTTTTTTTTTTTTTTTTTAGACCGTCACCCAGGTTGGGAGTGCAGTGTAATAATCTCGGCTCACTGCAAGCTCCACCTCCCCGGTTCAAGTGATTCTCCTGCCTCAGCCTCCTGAGTAGCTGAGATTACAGGTGCATGCCACCAGACCCAGGTGTTTTTTTTTTTAAGAGATATGGTCTTGCTATGTTACCAGGGCTGGTCTTAAACTACTGGGCTCAAGCAATCCTCCCACCTCAGCCTCCCAAAGTGCTGGGATTACAGGCATGAGCCTGGCCACAGAGGCTAGAATTTTTATGGGCCATCTGGTGGGCAGAAGGGCTAGGGAGTGGGTGCTGCTGACTGGTTGGGATGAAATCATCGGAGCATGGAAATGGTCCTTGTCACTGAGCCCACCTCTGGGTGGGGCCACAGCTGAGTTAATGAGTCACGGGTCTGGGCAGGGTCAGTCCATCGCCAGCATGCAAAAGTCTGCAAAACATCTCAAAGGACCAAGCTTAGGTCTTAGGAGAGTGATGTTCTCTCTAGGAGCAATTGAGGAAGTCACAAATCTTGTGACCTCTGGCCACATGACTCGAGTGTTAGGAGATTACAGAAAGTTGTTGTGTAGCACACCTGCACGTTAGCAGAGCCCAGGCTCCTCCCAGCAGCCTTTCATTAGTCTCACAAAGGCAGTTTCAGTCCCGCACAAGAAGGGGAGCAGTTTTAGGGAGGGACTATATCATCCTTGCTTTCAAGTTAAACTATAAACTAACCCCTCCCATGGCTGGTGTGGTCACGCCCAGGAGCTAATGAGGACAGCCCACCTGTGAGGACAGGTGAGACGGGGTCAGCATGCCAGCCTTCTCTCTCCGTCATCATCTTGCGCAGGCGGTTCCCCTCATCCCCTCCTACAGGGCTGGTGGGAGATCCACTTACTGGCTGAAAATAGCTGAGCGGAAAAGAAAAATGGCTCAGAGCAGTCAGGGACCCACGCCTGGGGGCAAGTGTTTAAAGGCATTTTGATACTGACCAGCAACATTGCCCGTGGTCTTCATGCTCCTGGAGTTTGTGACACAAAGAACAATGTACAGCCAATCAATAGTGTATGTTACTTTAATGTAACTTATTGGTAAACAACTTAGGAGCTCTTTTTGAGGGGTCTTGCTGTGTAACCCAGGGTGCTGGAGTGAAGTGGCACCATCATAGCTCACTGCAGTCTTAGCCTCTTGGGCTCACGCAGTCCTCCCACCTCAGCCTCCTGAGAACCGGGTGCTACAGACAGGTACCACCACACCTGGCTAATATTTTTAAATTATTTTTTGTAGAGATGGGGTCTCAGTATCTATAGTAGCCCAGGCTGGTCTCAAACTCCTGGCCTCAAGGAATCCCCCCCTCAGCCTCCCAAAGTGCTGGCATTGTGAGCGGAGCCACCACACGGGCCATCTTTCTTCCCTTCCTCTGCTTCCTCTTCTGCCCTTTCTCCTTCTGCTTCTTTTTATGACTTGCTTGTAACTGCTAATCGGAGTGCACATTCAGGGTACTTGGACACATTCAGCTAATTCTGCTAATTGGAGTGCACATTCAGTGGAAGGAGGTGAACCTCTACATGGGTGAGCTCCCTGGGGCTGTGGTGATACGTGACCAACCGTTCAATTGCTTAACAGAACACGAATGCTCTACAGCTCTGGAGCTCAGAAGTCCTCATGGGCCTCCCTGGGCTGAAGCCACACCTGAGCCTGAGCGGGCCTGGCAGGTTCCCTGGGCATCACAGGGCTAGGTCCTTCTGCAGACATCGAGGGAGGCGCTGTTCTTGCCCTGCCCGGCATTCCCTGGCTTGTGGCCCCTTCCAGCAACCACTGCAGGCCAACCACTGCTCTGTCTTCAGTCACCTTCTCTGCTGACCCTCCTGCTTCCCCATCATAGGCACCCTGGGTTGGCATTGGGTCCGCCACGTAACCCAGGATCATCTCCCCTGGCAAAATCCTTGACTTCATAATATCTGCAAGGTCCCTTTTACTGTTTAAGGTAATGCAGTCCCAGAGTGCAGGGGTTCGGATGTGGCATCCTTCATGGGAATTTTCTGCCTATCACAAGCATATCTTTTATTTATTTATTTTATGTACTTAGAGATGGAGTCTTTCTCTGTTGCTCAGGCTGGAGTTGCAGTGGTGCAATCTTGGCTCACTGCAACCCCCAACTCCTGACCTCGAGTGATCCACCTGCCTCAGCCTCCCAAAGTGCTGGGATTCCAGGTGGGACCACCACACCCAGCCCACATATCTTTTATTTAAAATACTTTAGAGACTGCCAGATCGAAGTAGGAGCACATAGGTGCTTGAGTGGATGAAATAATACAAAAATAGAGAAGGAAAGAAAAGAATGTTTTTGAGGGACTGCAGGAGCTAGAACTGAGAATTATCTGCTCATATGCCATTTACAGAAGCTTCCTTAGGATGCCTAAAACCCTGGACAAGAGATGGCAACTACAGATGCTCCTCAACCGAGGCGAGGTCCCAGGAAGCCCCCGGTAGGTTAAAATGTGGAAAGTCAAAGCTGCATTTACCACGCCCACCCTACGGAACAGCGTGTTCAGCTTCGCCTACCTTCACTGCACTCACCTGAGAACACTCACGTGAGCCCACAGTTGGCAAAATCAGGGGGCAGCACACCCAATGCAGAGAGCAGGTGGCTCGCTCTCTTGGTCACGGGTGATAGAGCTGCCCTGTCCAGCTGTATGAATCTCTGTGTCTGCTTTCTGCTGCTGTCCACTGATCCCACCCGAAAGCACAGTGTCAGCCTGGAGGCAGCTCTTCCCAGGCTGTCCCCGCCCTTACCTGGGGTGTCTCACCTTGCACAGCCCCTGTCCTGTCTCAGCCTGCATCCCCTGAGATATTGTTCTCCAGGCCACCCATGTCCCCAAAACCCAGTCGGCTGGTCCTGCCCCTGCTGGCTGCGAGGTTGGCACTGAGTCCTCAGAGTGATGTCTGGGGCCCAGGCCAGGCGCCCCTGACCATGTGGTCCTGGGGGAGGGTGAGGCAGGGTTGGTCAGCCAGGCAGGCTCCCTGGGCAAGTCTCCACTGCCACACGGGAGCACAGGTGCCTCGAGACTGCCCCAGGTGCCTCTGGGCTAGCGCAGCCTTGGGGGCTGTTACTCAAATCCTTCTCCTCCTCCAGCCAGGGTCCTGCAGGCATCGGAGGCTAGCTCCTCCTCTCTCCCTCCAGCCCCCGCCAGCATGGAAACTGATGAATCTAAGAGGCTGCCACCTGGAACAGCCAGAAAAAATATCAAGTGCCATTAAGAAACTTTTATTTTGCTGGGCGCGGTGGCTCAAGCCTGTAATCCCAGCACTTTGGGAGGCCGAGGCGGGTGGATCACGAGGTCAAGAGATTGAGACCATCCTGGTCAACATGGTGAAACCCCGTCTTTACTAAAAATACAAAAAAAATTAGCTGGGCATGGTGGCGCGTGCCTGTAATCCCAGCTACTCAGGAGGCTGAGGCAGGAGAATTGCCTGAGCCCAGGAGGCGGAGGTTGCGGTGAGCCGAGATCGCGCCATTGCACTCCAGCCTGGGTAAACAAGAGTGAAACTCCGTCTCAAAAAAAAGAAACTTTTATTTTAAAATAAGTTGTTGCCACACAGGGAAGAGGGAGCGCTGCCCTTTCCTAGGGCTTTCCCGAGCCCGGCTGCCTAGAGCACTGGAAGCCCTGTTCCCACACCTTCCGCAAGTCAACCCGCTCCAGCTCCCAGAGACTTATTTCACGGTCAGTTTCTAAAACTGTCTGGAAGAAAATGATCGAATGACCCTTTATCAGTGTGATTTTGGGCACACACGTGCGGACTTCCCTTCGAGAAATAAATCAAGATCCTTAATGAACAAAGACCCGCGTGATTGCCAAAGCAGTGAATTAGGTTGGGCACCGCCTGCAGATCACAAAAGTAGAGTAGTTACAATTAATGGATTTAATTTTAAATGCAAGGGCCTGCGTCCCGAGTGCTAAAACAGTCCATCTTGGCATTCTTATTACTCTTTAATGATAATTGATGTACCTGGGAGAGATGTCAGCCGCGTCCAGTTTTACACAGGTGCGAGGCCCCTCCCAGCTCCCCATTCCTGTAGCTAGCCGGTGCCAATGATCAGCAACATGGTTTTGATGAAATCCAAATTTATTAGGGTCATTAAAAGTCGTTAATTATTTGGCACCATCTAGATTTCATTTGCTTCATGCTTAATGAAAATTGACAGCTTTATATTTGCAGGTGTAAAAAGCGGGATTTTGTTTTAAATGCTTCCCGTCCTATCCGCAGGCCGTAGCCTCCCCGATCTTTCCCTCATTCCCGCCTCTGACCTTTGCTCCCCTCTTCCTCACTCCCCCCAGTACTGATTTGCGACCTGCTCCCTTTCAAACAGAGGCGGTCTTCCCTGTTGCTCCTTTCCATGGCCCGCGTGGAAATTCCCCTACCAAATCCAAGGACAGTGGTTTCAGTCCAGAAGTGGCCTCCGAGGGCGCGACTCCAATTTCCCATGGGAGGACAGACCGCTTGCACTTGTCTACCCCAGATTTCCCAGGGCCACTGATCAGCCAGCCAGAGCAAACCCTGGCCATCCCTATGCGGCAGCGTGACCAGCAGTTACGGACCAGTTGTATGTGAGCGAGGCTATAGCTTGAGCGTGGCACTCTCCACCTGGCACCAGATCCTGCCACTGGGGACTCACTGGGCAGCCCTTCTGGGGGTACAGCGAATGGAAAGAAGTCGGGCGGAAGCCATGGGATTGTTCACGTCACTCCGGGACTAGAACGTTCTCACGTTAGCTTTGAAGCACATTCAAGCCAGACCTCTTGTGGGTGGCCTGAGCAGAAAAATTTAGCAGATCTTCAGCCAGGAAAATCTGTGACCGTCCTGTGTGTAATTAGATTTCTGAATGCCACATGGTCTTTCGTCGTCCCAGAAAAATCAGCCTTTCAGCGTCTTGTTTGCCAGAGTGCTGTATTCAGTGATTAATCACAACCTCATGATTACCAGGTTTGCTAAGCAGAAGCTACAAAAGCGAAGTCGGCTGAGAGAAATGAAGGAAAATGCAAAGCAAGAACACAGGAAGGTGCCGGCTGCCCTCCGACGTCACACCCACCGAGAGCACCGCCTTGTAGTTTCGGGAGACCCAGCAGTGCTCGCCGTCAATAGCATGCCCTGTGACCGGCCAGAGTGAGGGGCGCACATGCAGGTTCCTCTGTGTTTAGGTATTTCTGCCACTCCAGCTGAGACAGCAGAGAGCACATGAGAAAAGCCCCATGCTACGTGGAAGCTCGACTTCTGAAAACAATCTAACTTGGTTTGTGCAGAGTGTAACATTTCTCCACGTGTCACCCAAAATTCCCCACAGAGGAGGCTGTTCGCTCACTAGGTGTTGGCCTCTCCCCCGTATTCTCTACTCATGTCATCAAAATCGATTTCTATTTCATATGGATACTTTTTGTCAAAGCAGAGTTTTTCTTCCACAAACAAAAAAGAAAGCAAAGAGCTAGAGAAAATACTATTTCTCTACTGATTTTCAAATACATATTTTTTAAAAAGTCAAGGCAACTGGAAAGACTCAAAAAGAAAGCTTCAATCAAACTTCAAAGAATCTTCCAGTTCCAAAACTGACTCTAGGTAAGCAGCAGGTGAAATGCAACCCGCAAATGTGTTTTGCTTATATCCGGACAGGGTTTTATTCACCTCGTTTTTATTTTCAAAATGTTCAGATCTCTAGCAAATTTAAAGAACAGTACAATGATCATCCATACATGCTGCCCCTGAATCCACTGCTCGTTAACGTGATGCCACATTGGCTCTCCTCTATCTAGTCGTATGTAGCTAAATGTATGTAGTCCTGGGGGCAGGGTATAGAGAGAGGCATACAGGGGATGTGTGTACATATGTAGGTGTGGCTGCGGGTGTGTGGCTGTAT